TGCACACCATTCTTTGTAAACCCTAGAAATGGTTGTGCGTGAAAATCCCAGTAACTGAGCAGATTGTGAAATACTCAGACCGGCCCATCTGGCACAAACAACCATGACACACTAAAAATTGGTTAAATCACCTTTCTTTCCCATTCTGACATTCAGTTTGGAGTTCAGGAGATTGTCTTGACCAGGACCACACCACTAAATTCATTGAAGCAACTGCCATGTGATTGGTTGATTAGATAATTGCATTAATGAGAAATTGAACAGGTGTTCCTAATAATCCTTTAGGTGAGTGTATGTAGCCTATATACTTTTTAAAAACAATGCAAAAATACAATGGCTATGTATAGTAAATAACACGCGCATTAGAGTAAGTTTTCCGTGAAATTAAATCAAGACATCCACGATCTGCACGGCTTCTGAGGAATGTCGTTCCTCGCAGGCTTTGCCCACAAACGGACTCACACGGTGGCGCCTTTCACGCTGCCTGATTAGAAACACCGTATGTCTTTTGCATGCACCCTAGCGAAAACAGCAATTAATCTATAGTTCGACTTTTTCCACTTCTTTGCAAGTCTGAATGCTAAATGCGTTGCATTTAGACGTCAAGTACATAACCACGTATAAGTAAATTCACAGGCGGCTCACGAACGATACTCCTGAGGGGTCCCATGGCTTGAAGATTTGGGTACCCGCTGTAGGCTTTACTGTGAAAAAATAAAAACAAAAACAGAAAAATAAGGAAATGGCAGACGAACGTGACCTAGAAAGGTTAGTAGCTACTTTAATGCATTTGTTTAGTCAATGGTGGTAAGATAACATGGGGGCTGCCATGAATCCCCAGCCAGCGAAGGATCGGTAAGCCGGCGGTATAAGGAAGCGGCAGATCCAGAGCAGGAGTTAGCAATTGTCGCTTACCGCATTGCAGCGTAGCCTGACTGTAAATAAACAAGCGTTGTCAAGAGTGATTTAATTGCACTTTGTGTGGGAAATCGCAGTCTGCGATTTTAAATGGTCTCTGGTCTGTGTAGTTTTGTCTTTCCCACACGCAGCATAGTGTGTCTGATCACATGGATCTATGCCTCGGTGTAGGCACACGGGAGTTTCGTGGTATTTATTTGGTGATCGTCTCTCTCCAGACAAGCTGTGGAGGAGCTTCTGCAGGAGGCTGGGAGAGGCAGAGTACGAGCCCAGACCATGGGACCGGCGGGCTGGTGAGGGACTAGCGCTTATTTGGAGGCTGATAGGTGTCCACTTGGGCTGCACGATTCTGAGGAAAAAAAAAAGTGAATCGCGATTCTTTTGCTTAGAATTGAGATTACGATTCTCTGTACCGATTTTTCCTTAGATCTCAACGTTTATTGCACTCATTAAGCTGCAAAAAGAAACACAACAAAACATGACTGTGCCAAACATGATAGATCCAGGACCGGTATATCAACTTCTGACAACAGAAAGGAAACGCTGAATTAGCCATTCAGTTAGGGTAACAGCCATACCAAAAGTAAGGTACCTGATGCGGTGGAAAAGCGCCCTTTAAAGAGAATGCAGAAATTTGTGACCCTTAAGGCTCTCTGGGGAAAAGTAGGAGAACTTGTTTTGATCCAGCTGATACAATGCAGAAGAACCGTTGAAATTTAGAAATGAGATCGCATGGAGGTCTGAATCCAGAAGTTTTTTTCCCCGATAAATTGTGCAGCCCTAGTGCTCACTGCTACCCCACCAGGCAGATATTGACCGAACCCTTCACAATGCATCTCCAAGGGACAGAAAACCAGGGTTGCTGGATATGGATTTGATTTAAGTTTTAGAATTTTTCTTGCCATTATACATTTGAGTTAGATGCCTCAAGTAAAGTACCCAGCTGATTCGTTTAGCAAAATATGCATGTCATTTTGGATAATATCAAGTAATCAACAACAGCCACATCATTTTTACAGGACTTTTTCTAAATTCTCTTATTCTTGTTAGTAAATTAAAATCTTTGTTGATACAATGTCCAGTACAGTCTTTCTTTATGTCTTCCTGTCTCTCCCTCCTTGTGACCCCCCCACCCGCAGGATGAGGTGCCCCCTCCGTGGAGCTAACAAGAGGTTCCTGCTGAACACTCTTCGCACAATCAGCAGGCCAGGTCGGAGCCTGAGGCCACGACACAGCGACCAATCAGGGATTCAAATACAGGAGGTGGAGCAAAAATCTAAGTCACTCCAATCCGGAGAAGCTCAGCACTCAAGGTCTAGAGGCCGGTCTCCCTCTGGGCAGCACAGCAGGGGGCACTCACGTTCTCCTGTTAAGGGTTCGAACTGCAGTTTGAAGTCATCAAGCCCAACCCCTAAGCCATTAGACTCCACCAAGCCCCGTTACTCCCATCCTAAATCCCGGCCACAAGGATGTACTGATCTTCAGGAGTGACCTCAGGTGTGCGTGTGCAAGTGTGTCTATGTGTGTGTGGGCGTCTGTTTGCTTCATTATAGCTGTATAGTATTTTGAACCCACAACCTTGAAATAAGTTTTAATAAAAACATATTTTTAAGCTTCGTAGATAAAGAGAAGAAATAAGGATTTTGAGGTGTGATTGTGCAGAAGTCTACTGGAGCATTTAGTGTGACTGTGGGCTCTGAGGTATAGCTGGATGGTCTCCTATCTAGGGAAGAGCTCAGTGTGACTGTGAGCTTAGAGGTACAGCAGGACTATCTCCCATCTAGGGAAGAGCTGACTGTGAGCTTAGAGGTACAACTGGACTATCTATCATCTAGGGAAGAGCTCAGTGTGACTATGAGGTTAGAGGTACAGCTGTACTATCTCCCATCTAGGGAAGAGGGCAGTATGACTGTGGCCTCAGAGGTACAGCTGTATAGATTTAGGTTTTTCTCATTTTGTATGATCTTGGGTCCTGTGGTGCCCATAATTATATTCCTTATAATTATTAAGCATAACTATATGCTTAATGAGCCAGGGTTAACTGGACTGTTCATTGTTTATAATGATAATTCATAAAGTAAGTAATTTTAATAAAGGACTGGCCTGTCCCTACTGCTGTAGTTTGTGGCCTCGTACACACAGGGGTGCTGGGTTTGCAGCACTTTAAGTTCTCAGTGGTTGAATGTGGAGGACACTGCAGCAAGGTGGGGTGTGTCTGAGGCATGGCGTGAAGAGTAGAGCTGCCTTGAAGGACTGGCAAGTGAAGCTGAGTTAACTGAGAGGATCTTGTCCAGAGTTGCAGGCTCTGGACGTGTGGAGCCAAACGTATGATTAATGGCATGGAGTTTGCAGCCCTCCTGCAACAAGGTTATTCCCATTAAAGTGTCGTTAGCATTCCGCAGGGGTTAGTCTCTTTCTTGGACATATTTACACAGCCAGTACTCTGTCGCCACTGGAAGGGCGGATTTATCGCGGCTCAGACTCTTTGCGACACTTCCCCTGTTATCAGGACCATTGAGCTGGGCTGTGGGAAGTGAGCCGGACTGGGCCTGGTGCTGCTCAGAATGGCAGTCCTGCCATTGTTACTGTCTCTGTACTTCAGAGTAGGCGACAGACATATACAGAATTAGCTTTGTCAGAGAGAACCTATTTCACTTTCTTTAAAAATGTAAAAATTATATTTAAAATTTTATTTCATGAACTAAAGGTGTTCTGTGTGAATAACGATTTTAATTATTTAATATATAAGCGGTCCACAAATCATTGACTAAAATTTTTTAAAGAAATATCTATAAAATAAAGCCGTTGTTCCTTTTTTGGTTACTTTTGTGGGGTATGTGTCTCAATGACAATGAGTCATATCATCTTACTAAGACATTAAATATGTATTTTACAAGAGGTATTTCTTTTCCTACGCTCGTTTCCCGAACTGTCTCTTAAGAGATTGCTTAAGGGAGAGCTTCTTAAGCGCGACCTTATTAGGGGCCAGAACCAGGGACGGATTACGGACCAGGCCAGCGGGGCCGCTGCCCAGGGGCCCTTGGGGTGCAGGGGGCCCGTGGGGCCCCTAGCCTAAAACAATTTGCAACGCTTATCAACAATGTATTTTCGTTTGTCTATTTTAGAGGGCCTACTGTACATTCTTTGATCCTCTGCCTACAAGGGCCCCTGACCCTATAGGGCCTTTGGCGTTTGGCTGCCAAGGGCCCTTGAATTGTGGTGGTTGTGGTGGTGGTTGTGGTGGTGGTGCTGGTGGGGGGGGGGCCCTCGCGAATGTTTTGCCCAGGGGCCCACACAACCCATAATCCGTCCCTGGCCAGTGACTCGAGAATTGATTTTTCCCTCCTTGCAGCAAATGATTCATGCTGCGTGAGAGAAAGTGATGTTCTTTATAAATGTAACACTGACGAGATCCTTAAAATATTGTGTTAATCAGAACTGGCGAGAACCTAAAAATAAAATACAAAATTGTATCATCTAACCGTAAATATGATTTTCACGAACCCGCCTCTCCAAACAGCGGTATCACCAGTTTATTTTTATTTGTTTTATAAAACACCTGCCGATATGTGTGCATCTCAATAGCCCAATAGCAGAAAGAAAAGTTGCGTTTCTGTCTTAACAATGTCCTATGCGCTTCAGTACTGTCTACTATGGACTATTCCAGGGTGCTTCTTTGGGGAAAATTAACTGAAGTTGTGATATACTGTGACATGTGGCACATTTAGAGAGGTGTGTGTATTCCAGGGGCGTCGGGAATAGGGGGAATGGGTCCACCTATGTCGGCAGAACCCCGTTCCTAACCAATAAATAAATGAATGAATAAATAAATACTTAATTAACAGCGCGTTCCTTTTCTTTAATATATAAATCGGCGCGTTACTGAGGACAATTACCTGCGCATTCAGAGCACAAGGACGAAACCTAAAGATGACTGTAATAATGTATCAGACAAAATCATTGTATCATATGGGTCAGTTATTTTTTAGTTAAGTGTTGTTTGGTTATGAAACTGTACCCTTAACGACGATAGTCTTATTTTAAATGAGCAGTATGAGCCGACAACAGCGGTAAGAGACTAAGAGAGGCTCAGACCAACCTTACGGTAAGAAACCGCATCTTACGGAAAATATACCTAACTAAGGACGTTTCGGGAAACGCGTCGGAGCATTAAGAAACAATTTAAGGTAGAACTTACGAACGACATAGCGTTAGAAGGTTTCGGGAAACGCACCGACGAAAACATATTTAGTGTCTGTTGTGAAACATCAAACGGAACTCTTCTTTTTCTGGATTTTTTTGTGCTGTTAAACTTGAGTGATAACTAAAGAAGTTGAATCAGACGAGTAATATTCTCTGCACATGTTCCTCTGTGGAGAAGTTTCTCCGAGTATTCTGTTGCTTTCCCAAAGACGAACAAATGCTCAAAAATACTGTTTTGCAAGTTTGTTACGTGTTTTGTTTGTTTTTTGTTACTTCTCTACAGGTCTATAAAAATGACGTAATGATGGATCTTAGATATAGTGAACATAATTCTGCAAACGTTTTGGTTTGTCTCAGAACAGTAAAGAAGGCGAAACGCTCGTTTTCAGGTATGTACAAACATATCAGAATTGTTTGTGGTCCAGTGGCAACCAAGCAGTACATAACAATATTACAAGGCCTACAGAAGAAATACCTCACAGAACACTATGCGCCGCAAAAATAAACAAACAAGAATAAAAAGTTATACGTCGTATCAAATTTTTCTTGGGGATTAATTCATAGTTTTTCAAAAAATATTTATATTATAACGTATTGTAGAATAAAAGCAGTTTTAGTTAATATTGTGGATAATGAGCGCATGCGCATGTTGGGTGAATTTTAAAGCAAGTATAATAAGCGAAGTGCGGATCAGCTGCTTTACGAGTAAACGCGCTATAGTATAATTCCCATTGCGGGTTTATTGCACTCTTATTGAAGTCAAGCCAAGTCTAAATTTGACAGCCTTTTGTTTTTATAACGTTTCTGATCCGGCATAGCAACGTGACGTTTCCGTTCACTTAAAACCATTAGGCAAATTTCTGCAGATATATTCCTGAATCACATTGTCGCTTTGACGCTTCATAGGCGCCGGAATGGCTTAAGTTGTGGTTAAGTTACCTTCCCTCTGAAACCAAGACCAGATATAAAAACCATTAAGCGCCATTGCATGAAAATGGTTCGGTTAAAACTGGTTTATGATGCGATTTTAATGTCTCATAAAGTTAGTTTCTTTTAGCGAGTCATAAAACTCCGGGGTTAGCAAATATCACTCATATCTTTCACTTTTCGTTGACAATTGCTCACGATGCAATTTGTGCGCGTTTCAGCAAAATCCTAGTACCATCTCTCTAACCATATTGCCATAATGAACACCCTAACAGTCCCGAACTAGACGTTCTCACTTCGATTACCCTCGTATGTCACTTGCATGCACGTATGGTTTGGGCGCTACTTCTCACATATGGTTTGAATGATAAATTACTCTAAGTAACCGGGAAATGTGTGTGCAGCCTATCTGTGTTTATCTGCTAGTTATTATTTGCCTGCGATATTACTAGTTTAGCATAACCGCTGTCTAATGCCGTGCAGACAAAGTGATGCATCTTGGCGCAGCCGCTGCATTACGTTACATTTAGTAGGCTATATGTTATGCTAATTTATACGTATAATTTACTATTAGTTACATAAGTAGTTTCTCTTAACATTTTAACGCTCCTGGAGAAAAACACGGTCTTCCATGTGTCACTGTCACTTAAGCAGATTGTTAAATGGAGTTAAATGAGCCATTTTAATGGGTGCAAATTTCAAAAATGTACAATTACTCCAAAAGAGCTGTGCAAACGTCAGCTGGGTAGCTATCGCTGACTTGATCTTTGATCCCACTCGGATCAGAGATTCAGAAACTCCCGGGTCTCCAGGACAACAGCTGTCTCTACATCCGTCACAGCGACCTCAATGCGGGCGCTCCGCCGAGGCCTGTGATTCCCCACCTGGTGGCGCCATAGCGATAAGACGTTTAAATGTAGGCTGAAGGTTGAATGCAATGTCTTGTAAGGTCCTTCCCCGTAAAGCTGCGACTCTACATTTCCAGGACCTTCAGGGCATCGGGTTAATTTATTAGTGCCCCGACAGCAGCAGGACTCCATCCGTGAAGATAAGTAGCTGCAGATTCCCCCGCTCACCTGCCCCGGGCTCCATTAAAGACGGCCACAGGTGTATCTCGTTCCCCCACAGCAAACAGTGATGTTTGCCTAGGGAATTGATTGACGTTTGGTCGGTTCTGTTCAATTATTGTGCGACCGTGGAAAAACAAGGGGAGTGACAAGTAAAGCACATTTTCCCACGTTGTATAAACAGCACGAGCGCTGCGTGGGTGCAGCGGGGTCACATGGCGACAGACACACCTATGAGAGCCTGCAGTGGCGTCGGGCGGAGGTCCCACGGGCAGGTTTGGAGTGTGCCGCGGCCGCATACAGCCGGCACATGAGCAGCTGCGCTACGTTCGCCGGGTCACCAGCAGCCATGAACCGAGAGGAGCACTTCTACGCCCCTGCGCAGATGTATAAGGAGCCGTATACCTACCAGGCACCTGCTGACGACGATTACAGCCAGAGTCCTCCACCGTGTCTTTATATGGGCAGACAGACCCCCGTGTGCCCCACGCCTTCACTGGGGTCCCTGGACCCGCCATGCCTCTCCAATACCGCCTCATACGACATGCCGCTGATGCGGGAAGATCCCGGAGTGTCCGTGTCCCACGCGCACCTACTCCCCACGCAGCTGCCTCAGCACACGCATCAGTCCGGGGTGGGTTACGGAAGCCCCGCTGACCTGGTGATGGTCAGCGACCGGAATCAGTACCAGCTCCCTTTCCCGTGGATGAAATCCACCAAGTCTCACACGCACACGTGGAAAGAGCAATGGACAGGTAATGCTGCCCTTACCAGCACCGGGTGTGCGTGCCGAGGGTCCGGGTTACGTTAGGGATGTATCAGCCCTATTCCTTCATGTGCGGGTGTCTGATACATGAGCTGCGTCCTGTGGGCCCACATGCTGTCCATCAGTCTTAATTAGATGAACAAGTGGCCGTATGAACTGGAATCACAGCACAGTTATATTATAGTTACTGGCTTTTACATAGACTACGCGTTTTTTTCTAAACGTAGTGTGAATAATATCGAAAACGACACTTTGCAATTTAACAAAACCCATTTTTAAAAATTCTATAACGTACACGATGTCATTGGCTTATTCAAACCAAAATTTATGTCTACACTGTCAGAAAAAAAACACCAATTTGTATCTTTGAGGGTACAATTGCTTGTCACTTGGACTGTACTCTCAAGAGTCTGCTAATTGCACCTTAACTGTAGCTAAATGTACATTTTAAGGTACAGACATGAACTTTGATGAACATTTTGTACCATTGGGGTACATTTATGTTGTTTGTACCTTGGGGGGCATAACTGTACCAGAGCATGACCTTTTTTTTCAGTGTACCTGGTACAATCAGTTGTGGATTATTATGGATTTTAATTAACATAATACAGACCCACACATCTTGATTTCAAAGAAATAATAGTCTTGCTACAAATCTATTTGGATTTAGAGATACAATTAATAAGTCTACTTATAAAGCTGTTAAGCGCACTATTGCGTTAAAATGGTCAGAGTTACCTATAGCCTACACTAAATTTACGCAAGTTTTAAATATTGCATATTGAGGTTAAAAAGGTTTAATTGCATGTTCAGGATTTTAAGACACAGCTTAGTCAAAGTTAAAAAGAAACAAAATCGATAGGCCTATCGAAATTTAGATACAGTTATCATACAATACAGTGATTTTGTGCTTTTTACTCGCGTTTTTGATTTAGGTCCCTTACTTGTCTGTTCTCATCTCAGGAAAACGTCGCCAAGTTAATAAATGAAAATACTTTCAGTAAATACGTTTGAAACTAAATATGGTTTTGAAATATTCCGGCAAAGCGCAGCTGTCAGCTAATAATCTTTTTTGCAGGATTTTTACCAAGGAATAAAAATATTTTAATTAGCAACATCATTAAACAATTAAACAATAACAGTAAACGTTACAATGTTTCTGTAGTACCAAGTATAATATAAAGTTAATAATATCTAAGAATATATGAATACTGATCGGAACATTATTAGTAGTATTATAGGCCAAATTGTTTTTACTGTGGTTTTTATACGCATGAAAAGTTAATGTTCAGAGCACTGGAACATAAAAATAGGTTGAATAACAATGAGAAACTCTTTAACTCTTTTAAAAATGGGCTAGTAAACGAATTACATGAATTTATATTAGATGTGCGACCGCGAGGCTATCGTATGTGTTTTAGGTGACCAAAAACGGACCGAACAAACGTGCCTTAAGAGTTGTGCGCTTTAAAATATATAGTTAATGAAGAAAATGAACCAAAATGAAATACGCGGGTAAACTGGGTGAGTTTCCCGAAGCCTTCTGTCTTCTATCATAAAACTTACGAACGACGTAGCGTTAAGAAAGCTTCGGGAAACTCACCCAACTATTTTTTTTAAAGTAAAGAACGTTCGGAAACGTGCTTGATGACATGGATTTCTCATTTAAAAAATATGAGCAGAAAACGATAGCGAAGAACGTGGTGTCTGTGACTCATTTTATATCAAATACAGCACAGAATAATACCGCTAAAATGCCGAAATGTGATTATGATGTATGTTGGCTAATTTTGCTTTGAAGGATGATGAATGACTTTACTTTACGTACTTTACTGATACTAGTAAGTAAGTAGTAGTAGTAACTTTATCTAGTAAGATAAAAACGTAAACGTATCAGTAAAGTACACTTTTCTGAGGAAAAAATTTAAAATAAAATGTTGTTTTTCTTCTAAGATATGAGATGATGTGACATTGCTTTTTTTCTGAATGATTCTGAGACGGTGGTGTCGGAAGGAGTTTGACATGGGGGGTGGGGCACTGCGATGTTTCGCCACATAACAATTGGCACATATGCAATATTTCAAGATGATTTTAGAATATTTTAATAAAGATTTAATAATTTAAAACAAGACTAACTCTGTGTAGGGTACACTAAAGATAACTAAAAAACAACTGATCCACACGATAAAGTGAATTTGTCTGACACAGGACTAAATGTTCGTTAGGTATATGTATCGTCCTCGCGCCCTGCATGCGCAGCGAATCGGTCTCAGTAACGCACGGATTCGTAATGAAAGATGAGGAATGCGCTCTTATTCGTTATTATCGTATGTATCTCGGCGGGAACGCATTAAATAACAATAGGCGCCGTTGTGAACATTAATCGCGAAACCCCAAAATACATCAATTTGATTTTTTTTCCCAGTGGTTGAAGCCCTTAATGGACAGATTTTGTTAGCATTTGTTTTTCATTTTAAATACATTGTGGTGCGGCGTGACTGAGAACTTTTTGTTGTATTTATGAGGGTTGAAGAGTCCCACGGGTTTCAGTCCATATCACTTCGTCTTATTTAGGACCTCGATTTATATAAGCAAAATTTGTGCTGAAGTGTTGAATCTAAATGATCTGGGCAGATGTTAGCGAAAAGTTTCCAAATGTCATGGCTGCGGTTAGGGGTTATGGGTATGGTTATTAACAGCAGCCGTCTTCTTTGCAGGCCACTGCATGGCGGAGCTGGAGGACAGCAAGCGCACACGCACCGCTTACACACGCGCCCAGCTGCTGGAGCTGGAGAAGGAATTCCTGTTTAACCGCTACATCTCGCGGCCGCGCCGCGTGGAGCTTGCCCTGCTGCTGAACCTCACCGAGCGCCACATAAAGATCTGGTTCCAGAACCGGCGCATGAAGTGGAAGAAGGAGGAGGACCGCAAGCGTGCCAGGCCTGGTCAGCCTGAGCAGGACTGCGCCGTGTCATCTGGGGGGCCCTCTGGGGGGCTGACTGAGGAGCCCAGTAGTGCCCTAAAGCTGCTGCCACGGGACACTGCGGCCCCGGGCTCCCCTGAGCAGAGCCGCCCTCCCCCTCCAGTGAGTGGGAGCCCACCGCTGTGCCGGTGAGTGGGTGCTGGCCAAGTGTGGCCCATCGGGTCAGGACCCTGTATCTGTGATCAGAAGGTCACCAGTTTAAATCCCAGGGTGAGCAGAGTGATGTAACCACTGCTCCCCTGAGCAAGGCCCTTAACCCCTCAGCTGACCATGCTATCTCAAAAACAAGTGTCTGCTGAATAAATGAAATGTAACTGAAGAGCAGAGGAGGACAGGAGTGTCTCGCTGGTGTCAGGCTGACGCAGCTGCCAGAGTCCTCACGAGGGGTCCCGGCCCGAGGCTCCAGCTCAACTTGTGGGGCCCCAATGTGGGGCCCAGCCCACCTCATATACTTAAGCTGAATCCAGCCGACAGCTGCATTTGTTTTAAAGACTTTGGTTTTCACCAGAAAGTTGAATTACACTGGTATACAGTGATTTTGGTGCCAACAATGTCTGAACGGTTTTATATTAAGTTTATGGTGCTGATTAAGAATATGACTTCAGTTTCCCCAGATTGGCTCAAGTGTCTGAGATATTTAATAGTTAATTATTTAACGCAACACGTTTGAAAAGCATTCAGAATTGCAAGAATATTTTATTTTAGTTACAACTAGTAAGTAAACAGTCTAACATCATTCAAAAAAAGAAATTATAGGAAAAAGTTATGTATGATTTGATTAATTAATACAATATTAATTAGTTATTAATGTCAATGCTTCACAAAACGCTGTTTTTATCAATTTCCATTTATGTGTGTCATCAGGATAATCACGTTGGAGACTCCAACAGTAGTCTGCCATCATGTGTATGTCCCATCTGCCTTGATATCTCTCCATCACCTTCATATCCTGGTGGAACCTTTCGCCTTGTTTCTCACTGAAATCTCCAAGGTTATCTGGAAATCTGTTTAAATGGCTATGGAGTGCATCTTTATGCTCATATTAACTCCCAAATGTCTGAAGTTAGCAAGCATATCTTGCACCAATTCTTCATAATTGTCTGCTCTGTGATTACCCAAGTAGTTCTTCACAACAGAGACAAAAATCTTCCAGGCTGAAGCCTCGGGGTGTCATTCATGCATTTTGGTAAAATTGGATTGTTGATGCTTTCTCTTCTTGATGAAGTCATAATTTTTACATGTATTTATACACTGTGTGCAGAATTATTAGGCAAGTCTGTATTTCACTTGTATCTTCTCAACCAACCAATACGTTGAGTCCATATGAATCTCTAATTAAGAATCAACTGTTTAAAAACAGCAAAATGTTCAGTATTTGGTCTGAATACTTTCTGTTTGGATAAAAACAGGAAAACATAGATACTCTCCTGTGCAGAATTATTAAGCAAATTATTATTACTATTGAAATGGGCCAAAGAGGACCTTGCAAAACGATCGAAACTGCCAGACTGATCACTGTACAATCAAGTGGTTTGTTGCCAACAGCCAAAGAGGACTTAAGAGGCTTTTAGAGAGAAGATGACACACATAAACTGTCAAAGTTCTGTGCCAAATTAAAGGGGAGACTTTCAGAGACTCTTGAGCATCAAATGCCATCATTTTTCAAAACTGCAATCTAAACAGAATCCCCAGACGTTCTAGGTGCAGTGTGCTGCGTGACAATCCTAAGGTCATAAACGCTGAAACATGGCCTCCACTCAGTAAGGCATGTAAGGTATAGCATTAAGAATGGGCACCGACACATATCAAGACTGATGGTACAAAGGTTTTGGGGACAGAAAGTGACTCTTGATGGAGCAGATGGATGGGCCAGTGGATTGAAATCCTCTTCAAGCACTAACAAGGTGGTGGAGGAGGAGAGATGACATGGACTGCAATTATCAGTGATGAACTTGTCATACCTTTCTGACTTGCAGATTGTGTAAAAATCAACCACAAGGTCTAGTGCAAATTTCTAGAAGATACCTTCTTCAAACACTGGCACAAGAAGAAGTCAGCAGCTTTCTAAGAGGTTATGATATTCCTGCAAGACAATGCCCCTCCCTATGCATCAAAGTATTTCATAGATTGGCCTAGAAAGGCTTGAAACGTGATAGAATTATGGCCTGTCCCCCTTCATTGCCTGACTCAACCCCATTGAGACCTACTGGGCCTTACCAAAGTGTGAGATTTACCAAAGTAGCAAGCAGTACCTTTCTCAGAGCAGCTTCTAGGTGGTAGTCCTAGTTGGCTCAGCTAATATAGGACAGGATCAAATCAAAAACCTGATTGGTTCAGTGGGAAACAGGCTCATGGTGGTCACTGAGAAGAAAATTGGCTATACTGGGCATTAAACTGGGTGAAGTGGGCTGTATAGAACGGCTGAAAGCTTGTTAATCCTTATATATACACTGATATATATACAAAAATTGTTTCTTATTTCTGTTGATGGTGAAGAGAGAAAATCCACTTAGTTTCTGATTGCCTAACAATTCTGCACACTGATAATCAAGCGTTTTTCTTTTATTTTTGTTTGTGAAAGTCAAGTGTAACATCTCTCTAAATAAATTTACTTTGTACACAAGAAAGCTTCTGAATTCATTTTTATAAGTCTACCCAACTTTTGCTAAAAATGATCTCCAGGAATAGTACTTGCCTAATAATTCTGCACAGTGTATACTTAAGACAGAAGTTTTTGGGTATTAACCAATGCTGGGTTGACAAACTTATACTGTAGCCGACTTCTTTCCTCTGCAAATTCACAGTTGAATTCTGGCTTCAAAAAGTCGCTTTTATAGCATTGTAGGCCTACAAATTGAAATACAAAATAATTATATGGGATATGTCATTACGTAAGACACAGTTAAAGAATCAAAAGACAGCCCAAAAGTTTTGCATTTGTTATCACACACAAGTCGCATTGGGGGAATTCATTATTTTCATGGATGTCCATTATCTCAAAAACTAGAACCAATTCAGCAAAAGTAATGGGATTTTTGAATTCAGCACCCTCAAAATACCCTAAATCCATTCAAAAAACCTTGGCACCTGAAAAAAAAAACTGTAGTCCTGTGTTATTTATAGAATAGCACAGATGTGGTTGAGCAGTTATGGTTTGTGTTTCACCCTTGCAGCGCTGCATTTCATAATAATTATGTACAGATAATAATGGTAATTAAATAAAAATAATGAAATTAGGGCTTTTATTCTGGTTTCGGGGTATTTAATAGGCACAGGCTGATGCGTGTCGTCAGTTTGAACACGCTTCCTGTGCATGATTCTGCGCAGCCACCAGTCAGAGCTTGATGTCAGACGCTACTATTCTGCGTAGCCGGAGGCAGCAGATCTTCTTCACCTCTTCTATGGCCAGAGGCAGCTCCCGCTGGGGCTCGTTGGCAAACCGCTCGGCCAGCTGCCGCAGAATGGCTGCTCTGTCGTTCAGACCGGCGCAGATGACGAACGGGTAGCCGAAGCGTTCTTTGTATTGCAGGTTGAGGCGCCGCAGACGGGTCGCGTCTGCGGGCTCCAGCGAGCGCAGGCCGGCTGCCACCTGCTCCTGCTCGGATTCCGCCGTCAGGGTCCCACTCTGAAGGTCCCGGCCGGCTAGGTCCGGGTGGCATCGCAGGATGCCCGCCTTACCTGAGGGAGACACGATGACCCGTGAGATTAAAGCCGCGTGTACTGAGTCGGTCAGCTTGAATCGGATGATCATGTAGCTGGTAGACAACTCACAGATGAATAAACTCACACGGTTTTAGCTAAAAGAAAAAAAAACTTTGGAAAAAACTTAATACGTTATATTGAATATCCACCATACTGTAAAAGCCTGTATTTTTATATGTCTGTTATAAGCATGCACCACAGTTTTTTAGTATGAGATACAGTCAGGGCGCCGAAAGCTTCCGATGAATGTCACGCACCGGCTGCTGGCAGGCTGTCGATGAACTCTGCTATTCTGGCTTCCATGTCAGCCAGAGTAGCGAAAGGTCTCGCTGACCACACTGCCGCTGTAACGAGCGGACATTTCTCCACAACGTTGCCAAAAATCTCCAGAAAATCTTCGTAGGAAAGAGAATTCACTTCACCGATGGCAATCATTGCAAACATCAAGGTGACCAGTCTGAACTCCCGATTAAAAATGTTGTAACTCCGAGTGCCTGCTTTTTCAGCTTTTGGTGATTTTAAACAATACTTAAAAATTGGTAAATAAACCAAATTTCTAACCAGCCTTTTAAAACGAATCACTTGTGTTAAGGCTAAACGCTGTTTATATATTCGCGATTAATTTTAAGAGTCTAAAAAAGAAAAACACCCACAGCATGTCAAAGAGCAGCTTCCCTCAGAACCACGAAGTCATTTGAAAGTCAGGAACGTGGGGCTGACCTCCGGGGCATCGACCTGACCAGAGGCAACGTGGCGGGAGGCGGCCGCCACTAGCTAGGCAAACGGCAGGCGCCTTTCTCACGTATGAGTGATGTAGCGAATGGAGAACAATCCAGCTGCATAGAGCAGCATCAAAACAGGAGAGAGACGGATGATTTGCATGTAGCCTAATACTAGACAATTGCAGCAGGCTCTTTGCCAGGAGAGCAAACTGAAGCATGGTATTTGGGGCAAGACACAGCTGTTAGAGTTAGGATTAGGACTTTGGAGTTACTGGTGAGGAATAACCAATGATTTAAATGCTTTACAGAATACAGCTGGAGCTAATCAGCAAAGCGGAGCCGCTCCCTATAATGAGGTGACTGGGTATGGTTGACGGAGGCAGCGTTGGGGTGAGGATCTACGCTTAATCTGTAGGTGAGAATGACCTCCAGCTGTTAGGTATGCAGGTAAATACTGAAATGTAAAGAAACAGCACTTTTATAGACAGTAGAGCACAAGGGCAATGTGCAGGGCCGAGGCCTGGTGCCCAATCTTCACTGATTGAAGGTTCACAACAGAGACAAAACTCTTCCTTCTGGTGAAGGTTAAATTAGCAGAGCAATAGCATAGCTGTACATAAAATATTGCAATCCACAACAAAATGGGAGACATATCACAGCTCAAAAGAGGACAAATTGTTGGTGCACGTCTTGCATAGCAAGGACAGCAAGTCTTTGTGGTGTATCGAGAGCCACAGTATCCAGGGTAATGCTGGTATACCATAATGAAGGATGGACCACATCCAACAGGAGTAACTGTGGATGTACGAGGAAGCTGTCTGAAAGGGATGTCCGAGCACTAATCCCGATTATATCCAAAAAAAACCCCATAAAACCACAGCTTCCCAACTCACTGCAGAATTAAATGCGCACCTCAGGTCTCCTGATTCCAACAAAACTATTTGTTGGGAGCTCTACAGGATCAGTATTCATGGTCGGGCTGCTATAGCCAAACCTGGCCAATCGTGCCAATGCCAAACATCAGTTTCTATGGTACCAGCAGCACAAATCTTGGGCTGTGGACAAGGAGAAACATGTATTGTTCTCTGATGAGCCCACCTTCACTGTCTTCCCCAAAGGTCTTTCCCATATCAGTTACAGTGTGGAGAAGCCCCATAGAGGGTTACCACCCAGACTGTTGCATATAGTAAGTGCAGCATGGGGGTGGATCAGTAATGGTTTGGGCTGTAATATTATGGCATTCCCTAGACCTAATACTTGTTCCACACTGTCACAAAAAAGAGTACATTTGCTTGTCACTGGAGCTGAACCTTGAAGGTTCTGCTAGCTGTACCCTTAGCTGTAGGTAAAGATACCTAACAAGATTCAGATATGGACCATGAGGAACATTTTTGTACATTAGTGTTATTTGTACAGTGGGGATGTTCTTCAGAGTCCATTTCTATACCTTAAACTATACTAAAAGGTAGGATCTTATATGTGTGTCTGGTGATATTTCAGAGACAATGGAGCCACAAAAAAAGGAGAAAAAGTATTTTTTTCAGAATGTACAGGGCAGACTTTATAGTGTCCGAAGCAGAGGAATACCAAACCATTTTATTTGGTCTGCCAGTGTGACACAAAAAAAAGCAGAATGGCAGCCTGTGACTGCCCCTGTTAATGTGGTCAGTTTAACAAGCTGGACAATGGTAGAAATAATAATTTTAAAAAGGCTGGATTAAAAATTTGTTGTTCCTCTTCTCTATGTAGTACCTTGACAGTCGGTTAATACCAGCCACAGCTTGTTTAATATCCCAGATAGCACACATATGTTGAAATGACATTGATTCCATAACAGACAAAAAGGTTGAAACAACATTGATCTTCAATCTTTCATTTTATATCAACATTGAATCAAGGTTTTGCCACCATCAATTTTTCAATATTGAAAATCTGACCAAAAATCAATTCAGTTTCAACGTTGATAATTTAACACTGACCATAATTCAATACATTTAACTATAATTCAATGCTGAAACAATGACATGGTGCTGACACTGCACACTGCACTTTAAACTAGCTATAAAAAATTTTTTGCACAGTATTTCATTTCATCCTGTAAATTGTATATACTCTCTTTGTAAATTCATAGGTTTTCTTTTTTTTCCTGTTTTGCACTCTCTATAATTTATTTAGAGTATATTTTACAATTTATTTTCTAGTTTCTTTATTTGCACAAAGTATGAGCGGTTCAGGATACATTTCACTGCATGTTGTACCTGTATAACTATGCATGTGACAAATAAATAATCTTGAATCTTGAATCTGGGTAATGGGCTGGGATATCCCGTATCTGTCAGCCAGCCTCTGTTGGTATGCTTCTGTAGCCTAAAACCGAGTGTTGTCAGTGCTAAAAGATGGATGGATAAAAACAGCATGACTTCCTAATGTAGGTGGTTCAACAGCCGGGGCCAAGTCATCACACATTTCCATCAGAATTGCTCTTGACCATCTAAGATGGCTGATAAGCCACAAATCATTACTGGAAAAATAATCATTGTGATCTCTAAATACTCGTTGCATTACATACTCGTGGGCTGATGTGTGGTTCAGTGGGGTGGTGACATCACTGCAGGGCCCTTAATCCAGGGGCTGTCTGAACCTGCTGTCGTGTATGTCGCTTTGGATCAAAGTAAAACCCAACATAAAGCACAAGACGTTGACTCTTATTATGCGGTTTCTGGTGACCTCTCCTGGTCATTATGTGAAGTGTAGCCTGCCTCAGTCATTGACGTTACCCACCAAAAATTAATGGAGAGAGAAAGACAGACAATTTATTAATCCCCAGACAGAAATTCGGGAAAGAACATAAGAACATATATAAATTTACAAACAAGAGGAAGCCATTGGGCCCATCAAGCTCATTTGGAGAGAACTCAACTAATAGCTCAGAGTTGTTAAAATCTTATCTAGCTCTGATTTAAAGGAACCCAAGGTTTTAGCTTTTAGCTTGCACTACACTAACAAGAAGACTATTCCGTACTCTAACTACACGCTGTGTAAAGAAGTGCTTTCTCCAATCCAGTTAAAATGTTCTCCCGTTAATTTCCACCCATGGATTCATATGTCCGTATGCTCTTCGTGGACTTCACATGCGCTTTTAATAGTATGATCCCTCAGACCTTAGTCAACAAACTATTGACTCTCAGACTGAGCTCCTCTCTCTGTAACTGGGTTCTGGACTTTTTGACCAACAGGCTGCAGTCTGTGAGGATCCACAATATCTCCTCATCTCCCATAGTCCTCAGTACTGGTTCCCCCCAGGGCTGTGTGCTAAGCCCCCTCCTGTTTACGCTGCTTACATATGACTGCTCAACTAACCTTCCAGGCTGTGATATTGTAAAGTTTGCGGACGACACAGCTGTGGTTGGTTGCATCAATAACATTCTGGCTGATTCTGGCCACATGCGGGAGGTGGAATACTTGGAGGACTGGTGCAGGAAAAAC